TTCCCAGTCCCATACTGGTCCCAGCGCCCCTCCCAGTCCCTCCCAGTCCCTCCCAGCACTGTTCCCAGTCCCATACTGGTCCCAGTCCCTCCCAGTGCCGTTCCCAGTCCCATACTGGTCCCATACTGGTCCCAGCGCTGCTTCCAGTCCCTCACAGTCCCTCCCAGTGCCACTCCCAGTGCTGTTCCCAGTCCCATACTGGTCCCAGCATTGCTTCCATTCCCTCCCAGTCCTTCCCAGTGCTGTTCCCAGTCCTATACTGGTCCCATACTGGTCCCAGTGCCGTTCCCAGTCCCTCCCAGTCTCATACTGGTCCCAGTGCCGTTCCCAGTCCCCTATTGGTCCCGTACTCGTCTCAGTGCTGCTTCCAGTCCCTCCCAGTTCCTCCCAGTCCCATACTGGTCCCAGTGCCATTCCCAGTCCCTTCCAGTCCCATACTGGACCCATACTGGTCCCAACACCCCTCCCAGTCCCTCCTAGTGCCGTTCCCAGTCTCATACTGGTCCCAGAGTGGCTCCCAGTGCCATTCCCAGTCCTTCCCAGTCCCTCCCAGTGCCGCTCCCAATCCCATACTGATCCCATACTGGTCCCAGCATTGCTTCCAGTCCCTCCCAGTCCCTCCCAGTGCCATTCCCAGTCCCATACTGGTCCCAGCGTGCGTCCCAGTGCCGTTCCCAGTCCCATACTGGTCCCATACTGGTCCCATACTGGTCCCAGCGCCACTCCCAGTCCATCCCAGTGCTGTTCCCAGCCCCTCCCAGTCCTTCCCAGTGCCATTTCCAGTCTCATACTGGTCCCATACTGGTCCCAGCACCACTTCCAGTCCCTCCCAGTCCTTCCCAGTGCTGTTCCCAGTCCTATACTGGTCCCATACTGGTCCCAGTGCCGTTCCCAGTCCCTCCCAGTGCCCCTCCCAGTCTCCCCCAGTCCCTCCCAGTGCCATTCCCAGTCCCATACTGGTCCCAGCGCCCCTCCCAGTCCCTCCCAGTCCCTCCCAGCACTGTTCCCAGTCCCATACTGGTCCCAGTCCCTCCCAGTGCCGTTCCCAGTCCCATACTGGTCCCATACTGGTCCCATACTGGTCCCAGCGCTGCTTCCAGTCCCTCCCAGTCCCTCCCAGTGCCATTCCCAGTCCCATACTGGTCCCAGCGTGCGTCCCAGTGCCGTTCCCAGTCCCATACTGGTCCCATACTGGTCCCAGCGCCACTCCCAGTCCATCCCAGTGCTGTTCCCAGCCCCTCCCAGTCCTTCCCAGTGCCATTTCCAGTCTCATACTGGTCCCATACTGGTCCCAGCACCACTTCCAGTCCCTCCCAGTCCTTCCCAGTGCTGTTCCCAGTCCTATACTGGTCCCATACTGGTCCCAGTGCCGTTCCCAGTCCCTCCCAGTGCCCCTCCCAGTCTCCCCCAGTCCCTCCCAGTGCCATTCCCAGTCCCATACTGGTCCCAGCGCCCCTCCCAGTCCCTCCCAGTCCCTCCCAGCACTGTTCCCAGTCCCATACTGGTCCCAGTCCCTCCCAGTGCCGTTCCCAGTCCCATACTGGTCCCATACTGGTCCCATACTGGTCCCAGCGCTGCTTCCAGTCCCTCCCAGTCCCTCCCAGTGCCACTCCCAGTGCTGTTCCCAGTCCCATACTGGTCCCAGCATTGCTTCCATTCCCTCCCAGTCCTTCCCAGTGCTGTTCCCAGTCCTATACTGGTCCCATACTGGTCCCAGTGCCGTTCCCAGTCCCTCCCAGTGCCCCTCCCAGTCTCCCCCAGTCCCTCCCAGTGCCATTCCCAGTCCCATACTGGTCCCAGCGCCCCTCCCAGTCCCTCCCAGTCCCTCCCAGCACTGTTCCCAGTCCCATACTGGTCCCAGTCCCTCCCAGTGCCGTTCCCAGTCCCATACTGGTCCCATACTGGTCCCATACTGGTCCCAGCGCTGCTTCCAGTCCCTCCCAGTCCCTCCCAGTGCCACTCCCAGTGCTGTTCCCAGTCCCATACTGGTCCCAGCATTGCTTCCATTCCCTCCCAGTCCTTCCCAGTGCTGTTCCCAGTCCTATACTGGTCCCATACTGGTCCCAGTGCCGTTCCCAGTCCCTCCCAGTGCCCCTCCCAGTCTCCCCCAGTCCCTCCCAGTGCCATTCCCAGTCCCATACTGGTCCCAGCGCCCCTCCCAGTCTCTCCCAGTCCCTCCCAGTGCCATTCCCAGTCCCTCCCAGTCCGTCCCAGTGCCTCCCAGTGCCGTACTGGTCCCATACTGGTCCCCAGGTGGGGGAGATCTTCTCGGCCGCCGGCGCCGCCTTCACCAAACTGGGGGAGCTGACGATGCAGCTGCACCCGGTGTCCGACTCCTCCCCCGCCGGGTCAGTGGCGCTGGGGGGCGCTA